TGTTGTGTTTCGTCGTGTGAGTAAGGTTGCCGGAGGTTCAATTAGCCGCCCCTCCCCTCTTATCTACTCTAATACTAGACTGTCACCGCTAGTTATGGTACTTTTAGAATCTGATGTGACACATTATTGAAGTCGCAATACATGAGTCATGAATTATTGAAGCTCGCTGTTCTGAATTGAAATTTCAGTAATATGTAATAGTCATATAGTGGCCACTATACGAGGTGTACAAAGAACGCTTCCGAGAACGCAGACCGATAAAGTTGTGTTCCTACAAGTTTTAACCGACTTCAATAAAAAAGAGGTTCTCAGTTTGACCTGTATGTATGTTTATGCGCGGTTATCTCATGTTTGGTGGAACTGATGTTGATGCCGTTTACAGAAAACGACTTGTTACACTTAAGAGAAGATTTTAGTACCTAGTAGTATAAAAAAAAAATAAAAAAGTAAGGTGGTTGTCAGTTTTTTATACGTGGCTTATGAAAGAATTATAATCGTTTTGATTTTGTGTTATTCATGTAAAATCAGCCTTGAGTAGTTGATTATTACTATTCTTACATACAAGAAACATGTAATCCCTTACTTTTTTAAATAAAATTTGTTTTTAACCTTCACCTGACTTCGTTTTTTGGAAGCGTTCTCCTTTCACCCCACATAGACATAGTGTCATATGGCATTAGACTCTCTCCTTCTTACGTGTAATAGAAATAGCGAAAAGTATCACAATTTTAGTATTCTACGCGGAACAACAGGAATTCTGACCTTTATAATACGCTACTACATTATTTACTAAACCCTTTGTCAGACTTCCAGGCTTCACACTACGTAATAACTGTCATAAATATCTGTATCACAATTATATCTTAACTTATGTCAAAGTACGGAAATGGGGCTTTCGTTACTTATTGTGCTTCGTAACTAAAATTATTGTAAATTACGAAAATTTGTTTGGAACTTATTAACTCTTTGAGTATCTAGAACTGTAAGCAAAAATGAGTATACATTTTGGTAAAGGAACTAACTAATACATTTTTAGACATAGTAGAAAGTCTAACAAATACTCTAAGATTGTCACGCACACTGTTCATAGTTATGAGTCCCGTTCGTGCCTTGAGAATGGTCGAGCATCCTTGAAAAATGTATGTTACGTAAAAGTGTAAAGTGTAAATAATATTTAAACTGATAAATACACATTAAAAATAACTTAATACCCAAAAAACCATCAGTATAATAATAATAAAACCAGTAAAACACGTTTCAAAATGACGATAAAGGTTTAATCATTGACAACGATGCCGAAATTTATCATTATTGCTGTACCAATTCATTTTTGCGGTATTAAAAGTCATCTGTGCGTAAAACCATCGCTGACCGTATCGCAAGCGAAGCGTTTCCAAGTTATTTCTGTAGTGCAATTTCAATTACTGCAGATGCATAAATTTTATTTGTATCGTGGCAACTACCCACCGCGTAGTTATCCGTCTATAATGGGATTGTAACTTCGTTTCGTATTCGGGGATTAATTAAAAAACGAGTAACAAAGGTATAATGGCGTATCTCATAACGTGTAAAGGTTTATTTGTTTTGTGCTCAGTAGTTAGTTATTTATTACCTGAAGATGTAAACACATTGACCTACATAAAAGCCAAAAACCTTTTCGATTATAATTATTATTTTATCATTTGCAAAACTTTCAAACGTCTGAATGATTTGTACTACTCCATATACGTCAAATAATTATCTATTACAGCTCCACAAAAAACTACTTCAAAATGTAAAAAGTAAATATATCGTCAAAAAAATAGAAAGTAAATCGTAGGGCGACACAAACGCATTATGTTTATCTTCTATCTATGTTATTTTTTAGTGTTACGTGAAGTGACTGCCGACTGACCTCTAGAGCCTTTGGAAACCCAATACGATGTTATCGGGGAAGGCGTGCGTGCTTCTACACTCAAACTGATATAATGTCTTCTTATTTTTATATAGAGGGTGGCCTTATTCTGCATGGCAACTAAATAGGTATTAGATATCTGCCCAATATTGATCTGCTTGAGACTGCTTGAGTATTTTTGGTTAAAATGTTTGGTCGCTATTTTTGGATGTTAATGATTTAAGTAATATCTTAGGTTGACAGCCTCGTCGAAAGGAATGTCGTAAATTTTTGAAAAATACGCTTACGTATAGTGGTTGAAACGATCCCAAACTTGAGTTTTACTGAAGCAAAAATATGAATTGCTATCTTGACACTGGCTTACAACAAGTACAAGATCGCAAATAACACTATTTACGACCAATTTTATCCGAATCCTTATGTAATGTTCAGATACAACTTTATATAATACACTTATCCTCTAAACCTACCAGTTTATTAGTGTCGCAGACGGCACCTTAAAATCACATATTTGATTCGCAGGTCGAACAAAAAATACTCGTATAATTGAATTTTCCCGTTAGAAAGATGCCCAGTTATAGCGGGATTGGAACTGTGCCCGATAAATGGCGATAAGTTCGCCGCCTATTACATGGCACCTAATAACGTCATCGGTGAACTAGGGGTGTGCCACAACCCTCTGCAACATATTTTAGGGGTCACAAACAACTCGGGTGTCGGGCGCAATGATGTTATTTTGATTGAATATTTTGCACAACACCGGAAAGTTTCCGACGCTGTTTTTGTTCGCTTACAAATTATGATTAGCCACGTAAAACGTTGTAGCTATCAATCTAGGTCGTGATAGTGTAAACTATTTTATTAAAAATCTTTGTAAGAAAAGTAGTGTAGGAGTGACTTTGAAAGTCGACGTTCGTAGTAGCAAGTATAATGAAAATATGGTAGCCGCGCTGGCTAAGCTATGATCGATTGCCGTCATGCAGGGCCGGTATTGCATGGATCATGCTAACATCGTCGGTTACATTAGATTGCGTTTGATACAGCTATATTGATAGCAGATTGATGCTGGGAGGATAATGCGGTAATAAGTATTGAGTTTTTGTATTGTATTCTTATTCGGATGAAGAAGTTATACGCGCTATTACACGCATTATCTGATATGACACGTGGTCACGCGGGTATGTTGATACCTGTATATGATATTGTTTAATTTGTACCTAATGCCTACCTTTAAATATCTAACAACTATGAATTGTGATCAGTAACTACTCAATAATAAACCAAGTATCTATCTAGACATCTAATGCCTAGATTAAATAAAACAATGAACCAGAAAACCAAAACAAATAAATCAGAACAGTAGTAGTTACCTGGTAAGGTACTAGAACTAACTTCATTACTCAGACAACACATAATGTGAGTAAGAGGAGAGAGGAATCGCAATAAAAATCGTAATGATACCGCAATAACGAACTCACGATAACTGCCGAAAAGGAATTGATAAGGAAAATATATGGAGAGAGTTACATATGGGTACCACATGCTACGTACGAACCCTTATTGGATGGGGCGTGTAGCCTTAAAAGATTCATGGATTCCTATAGAATGGAATGTTTCTGTATTTAAATATTCCCGAGTACAATGAAGAATTGGAATTTAGAGGCCGTGCCACGAACGTGTAGAATGCGATATCTCCGTGAATGTGAGAGTAGAGAGTGAACAATGTACTAAGTCGACCTAAGCGTTTAGTATTCCCTGCCAAACCCGAAAGCTAATAAATAAGGTGTCTACGTAGGGTTGGTCTAATACTTAGACGAAGAGTTTTTTGTTGGGAAAATCTGTTATAGGGTTCTCTTTATGTATGATCGATATCTACAGAACGTTCAATATAATTGTTAGCTTGTTTCTATGACCTAAAATGACTCCCTGACTAATAGGTATGCACTAATGTAAATTTTAATTATAATTAATTTAAGACCCATTAGTTCATTGTACCGTTTCAATTATTATTTGATGTATTTATTGCATTTACGAGTTCGTACATTTGTTGCGTATTTAAATGTATTTTATTTAATTAAAATTTAGAATTGAATGTTTCTGAATTCTTTTACCATAATACGCGTGAGTTTTGTGATCTGTGTGGATGTTTGGTACTCTTTTATACAAAAATTGCTTAACGTATTTTGATAAAATATTGCTACCTTAAAATAGAAACACGTATCATAATAGATATTGTAAATACCAAAGTATTTAGTTATAAATAACAAGAACTGGACCTAAATGTTTAAAGTTTAAATCTAAAATGTCAGAGAAAATGGCGAAGCGTCATTTTTGTTATTCATCGACAGTTCATTCATCTCCAGTGAAACATTGACAGATCCATTATAACTACGAACAATGGTAGCGGCACCATACAAATTTGTAAGGAACGTTTTTCATAATGCGCTGTTAAAGTGGCGAATAGCTCCGATAATACAACGTTTTGTTGTTAACGAAATGTATTCAATCTTTCATAACATTTCACGCAGAAAATCTTTATAAACGCCCCGTTATTTAAAATACTCATCTTTATCATTTATTAAAATCTAAAATTAAACCAGTTTTAATTAAAATTTAAGAACTGAAAACAATCACGTGTCCAAATTATAAATAATGTGAGCGTATATAAAGTTGTTTTTATCAAATACTTATTGCGTAAATAACAGTGTATCCGATATAATAACGAAATATACAACGACGCGGTTTAATATCGTCACGAGACCGACCTCTTTTGACCCTTCCGTTATTTACATCCCAGATTAAATCAAAGCATAAACGTTCTTCATAATATTGTTCACTTCTAAAAATACTTATAATATTATCTAACTAGTTACATAAACATACAATGTAATATTAACAGTTTAATACAATTGCTATCATTCGGAGATATTGTTATAAACTTTCAAAGTGTGCACAAAAAAGTAAAAGAACAAAAATAAAAAACAAAACTTGCAACTAAAAACATTGAAACAAAAAAGTAAAGTTGTGCGGTGTCGCTTAGTTTGGTTAAACTAATAAAAAGTTTGTATAAAACAAAAGTGTATTTAAGCATGATTGCATGCATTACCTCTTGACGGTTGCAGCCTCGGAAGCCACCACCCGCGGATATTATTTTGTTGCAACACGAGAGGGCGCGAGGGAGACGGCGAGAAAAGCGCCTTAACAACTTTTTAAAGGGAGCACTCTGATGGAGCGAGCGCAGCGCGAGCCGCGGGTACCGGCGTTTCATTAAGAGCGAGCGTGGAGGCTGCGATGGGCCACCACACCCCGCGCCCCGGCGCTCGCGGGCGCACCGCGCATGCGCCCGCCCGCCATCCAATCGCGGCCCTGTTGCTTCTGACGGCCGCACAACGTCAAAACGTAAACGCTATGAATACGTTTAATCGCCGCTGAATCTTCCGACAATCGCGATGATCTACGCTAAGATTAGGACAACTTTTGCGGGAAGCGACAGATGCATTGTGTTCACGAGACGCTACTCCGCTCGACTGGCTAAGACGTTTGGCGTACAATTGAGATGATAATATGTCTCTTTGTAGATTTATTCACACTGAAAAAGTTTAGCTCTTGTGGATATCGAAGACTTAAGTAATTGTATTTACTTTGACAAATTAATAAACGTTTTATTTTAAATTATTCATACAATACTCATTCATGCAAAAAGTTTAAACAACCGTAATGAAACCGATTTAAAAGCAAAGTGAATCTAATCTCGGGCCACTTAAAAAACATAAAACGCGCTCTGTGGTAGGCTGTAACCCGCTGAACCTCCATCAGGGCCGTTCAAGCTAAATCTAAATCCCTTAAATACGTTACCCTGATATTTATGGTACGGCTAATAGCACCAGTTAAGCCAAAGACCAGGCGTACAAACGATATTTTTGAAGATAAATACAAAATGGCTGTTTCTTCAAAAGTACCTAATCCCGCATAATTACGAGTAATTGACAAATGAAACGACAGATCTTAGGACCAAAAACTTTTACTCAAACAAGTTAAAATTTACAAAAATATATTTATTTAAATACAAACGGTGAATTAGTCAAATAATTTTTTGATCATTTTCTTAGTTCGTCTTAATTATAAGCTCTCCGCTGTCTTTTCTTAAAGAAAAATAATAAGATGAATGAATACCCTTGAGCATTCCAGACTCGTCCTTTGAGAAAAGATTTCTCAGATAAAGAAAAATGTGTACCTTCGTAAAAAGTATGACGCCGAATAAAACGATTCAAAAGAATTCTTTAAACATCACTTACAATACAAAACAAGAAATAAATATTATAATAAAGTATGGATCTCTATTATAATAAATTGTAAGAAATAAATCTTTTTATTACCTTTTCTATTTAAGCGCCCTCGTGAACTGTTTTATAATAGAAAAGAGAGTTATTGCATAAACACTGGGTTGAACATTGAACAAACATTATTCCTAGTATACACTCACGATATTATTTAAATATTCATGGAAGAATTTCTTTTGACAATAATATAATACTTAAACATTTTACTATTAAAATATGAAGATTTAGTTTGAAGAAAGTAAAGTATGTAGATACTAGCTACTGTAATTTTGACCACCAGGTGGCGCTAGTGAACTCTCGTTTTCCAACTAATAGGGAATTAATTAGTGTAACATCATTGGTCATTTAATATTTGAGCTGCTGTGATTGGACAAAAACGCCGCTTACTAAATTTTCGCCTGGTGACCAGAAATACGGTAGCCCCCATTACTTCTCTATTACATAAAAATAACCATTATTGGTACCTACCAATTGGACCTCCAATACATCATATTATTTTATAAATATTGTATAACAAAAATATACCAAGAAAATGCTAAGTGAATTCAAAGAAAATGCGACGTTTTGTAGTGATGTCACTTGTGTTAGTTTTCATTATTTTGAATAGAAATTTAAAATTATTTATATTCAAAAAGACCTAAAATATTAAACTAAAACCGCCCGAAGCCTTTTTTCAGCAATCTTCGTTATCCAACTGATAATGGAAATGTGATGTTAGATATAGAAACATGCTATTTTTATATATCTTTTAAATTAAATACTGGTTTAAATAAAATCACACTTACAAATAACTTAATCAATTTTTCTTTATTTACACATGAAACAGAACAAATTTCCAATGTATGTAAATCAAATTTAACTTTTTGCTGTTCATGTCTATCATATGGACGTAACATCCGTACCTGTGTCAGTTATTTGTAATTAGTTCAAAATTCCTGTTACAACGAGCCGATGTCATTCCAACATTGTTCAGTCGTTCAGAAATGTAACATGCTTGTACATACGGGGACGTATAAAACTATGCAAAACCAGTATAAATTGATCGTCGCATGTGCGGAAAGATCGTTAAGCTGTGCCTGTTATTTCATAAGACCTGTACCTATACCTTAACATGCAAATAAAGACTTTGAGTTTGAGTTTTGAGTTTGATCATACAAAGCGGTCATAATAAACTTTTTTTTGTATTTTCAAAGTCAAAGTCAAAGTCAAAGCATTTATTTCAATTAAACCATAGTTTGGTACTTTTGAAACGTCAACAAATACAAAATAAATAATAGTCTGTCAGTCAGTCCGTCAGTGAAGCTAGGTGAAGCTAGGTGCTCATTCCAAAACGTAGATTCGAATGGAGAAGAACGAGCAAGAAACTCCATTCGTTAATTAAAATATTGTAACCTTCGTGAGACATACTAAATAAATTATTATGTTTTCGGCTTACTCACGTAATAATTTGACGAGGAACCCGACTAGTTTCAAGCCATGCTAGAGGCTCATATTATACGCGGCGACTGTAGCAGCGTGACAGTCGCCGCGTCGCGGGTCGCGAAATGCTGCTCATGAATATGAGCCCCTAGCTCGGCTTGAAACTAGTCGAGTTCCTCGTCAAATTATTACGTGAGTAAGCTGAAAACATAATAATAAACTTTTTGTCTAGCTCGATGCGAAGCAGTGTCATCAAATAGTGTACAGACAACTGTACTGGTTTTTTCTAATTTTATATACATAATTACCTCTAGTATCGCGGCGCATGTCAGCAAAAATTGTAATATATTTAAACTGCAACTTAAGCATTATTTATCACTGTACTTTTATCGTTTCTATCAATTAAACACTAATAGCAGATAGTTGTGCCGTTTATCATTATTTTCTCTAACAATATTTCTGTCCAAAATAGCGCATATCATCGGGTGCAATCAACTGTCATTTATCACGCCTATCTCTATGGAAATTGGTACGTCCTGTTTCTGGGGTGTTTTTTTTTTATTTTTCAAATACTTTAATAATTTTCCTACTACATTTGAAACTAGAAACTGATTGATCACCGCTTCCTCATGCGAACCGCTAAGGAATGGAATTCCTTGCCAGAGTCTGTGTTTCCCGTCTAATATGACTTGGGTGTCTTCAAGTCCCGAGTGAACAGGTTGCTCATAGGTAGGCGTACTCCATCGTCGGCCCACATCATCGCTTACCATCAGGCGAAATGGTGGTCAAACTTCGACCTATAAAGTATAAAAAAAAACTTAAAACTAGAAACTAATTGTGATTTGATATACGTTTGGGATTTCGGATAAAAATTAAACAGTTGAAAAGTAATAAAAATACTGACAAAGAAGAATTTTTGTGTTCAACATCAGCATCAACAGCCGATACATGCCCACTGTTGAGCAAAGCCTCTTCTCACACGGAGAAGGTTTGAGCATTAAAACGCTTGCTCAATGCGGGTTGGCGATTACAAACTTATAATTATAAATTATAAGCCCAGGTTTCCTCACGATGTTTTTCCCTCACCGTTTATCAGTAGTGTCTAGATCTTAGAAAGTATGTACATATAACTCGGAAAAAGTAACATTGGTACTTGCCGTTGGTAAGTTTCGAACCCTCATGCATGAGAAGCGGGTGAAACCCTCCGGGCCACCACAACATATTTTTGTGGTACTAAGTATTAAATATTTTTTCATTTATTTATTTTACACTTTAATGCACACAAAATAAGGTACATAAGGCGGACTTAATGCCATATGGCATTTTCTCCCAGTCAACCTTTGGGTTAAATGTAAGCTCAGCGATAATGGGCCTGTGTAATATCCAAAAAAAAACAAAATAAATAACTAATAGTAATAATAAATACTGTATAACATACTGTATAAAAATATATAATAAACACAAAATTTAGTAAGGTATACTCGTCTTTAATTATTATAAAGCTAATATAGATAAATATTTATTGGGCATAACATATAAGCCTACGCTTCATCATTAATCTTTGTCAAAACTTTACAAATTGGAAACCATTACCTTTACTAAATTATTTCCAGTATCTTCAGAATTGATTAATTAATCAAAATCATGTACTGGTGATAGCTGGTTATTATGCTTTCCTAGTACTTTGATTACGTAAGTAACTAATAAAAACTGTGGTTACGTCCTATTATTTTATCATACATCACATCACACCTTTATCCCTGAAGGGGTACATAGAGGTGCACATTACGGCACTTAATGCCACTGTGCCCACTTTTCACTATTTATCTTATGTAATAGGAGGTAAGCCTATTGCTATATATACCGAGCACAATTCCAGACTCCGTACTACCACTGAGAATTTTTTAATAACCCAGTAGTATTTTGCCCGACCTAGGAATGGAACCTTACCACAGTCGCACTTGCGACCACTCGGCCAACGAGGCAGTCAATTGATTTGTCCTTAAATAATTGAGTTTACGCGATGCTTGTAGTGCCATGATTATGGACTCTTGATGTGGCTTGTAATTAGTTGAGTGACCTCAACAGATGTTAGTAAACTGTCCTTTTGAACAATGTTAAGTCTATGCCCAATTATAATTGTGGTCACCATGAACTGAATAGAACACTTAATAAATTATTATACTAGATTAGATCAGAGAGTCAGTTGTAGAAGAATCGTACGATGAAACGGTTTTTTTTATTAAAAAATATTTCAAATACATTCTTGCAGTGTTCGAGATATTCATATCTACACATCTGCAGTCGCGATCATGTAAGACAAAAATTGTTAAGTTTTTTCCCACTTATAGGTAGTATTCCAATGACCTTTCCTTGTCAATTTCTTCCTAATTAGGTCACTAGTTTATGTGAAAGCAACTCCCATCTGCCCTCAACTATCAACTTGGGTGATACGATATTCTTCAATAGTTTCGGGATTCTGACTTCCCTAACAACTGTCATGGGTCTTTGTTCTACGTGAGTCCCG